CCATTGCGCCGTTTCATGAACCACTCCCGTTGATGAAGCATTCGTCTCGCACCCAGCAGTAAACTGCGGGATCCTCAATCGCAATTGTTTGGCATGTCTCTTGTTGGTAATGCCTTTGATTTTGTATGCTAGAAGCAAGGCCCGTTTGCCGACCCTTGCTAATCCCTGATGCACCGAAATCATAAACCACCTTTACCACCCAACTCCGGCCTGACCCGTTCCCTTTAGATAGACGAGGGGTAGAGCATGATGCGGACGGAGGCACCGAAGGACCTGGCGGGGAGGGGAGTGGCGAACTTGGCGCGGACAACGCCGGAGTTGCCTGTGAAGTCACAAGTCAACATTCATCGTTCTACCCAGAACCTCGGGGAATGGGGATAATTACCGTGAGGCCTGGTGACCTTGCCCCAGATCACGCGGATCTTGGTGCCGCGAACCTCCTTCTGGCCGCGGTAGACATAGGCGACGCGCTTGCCAAGGTAGAAGCTGTATCCCCTGTCAATATCCATCATCGTGGTGTTCGGAACAAGTTTACCACGTACTTGGCAGCAGCAGTGTCATCAACACCCTCGATCTTGACCAAGCTGGTCTTGGGGTGGGTGGTGTGACGGCCACGCTGATAGCTCAGGTGGCGACCCCTATGCGATTCCTCTCGTCAGTCCGTGCTCGGTACGTCGTCGTTTCTGGCCTCGTCGTTTCCGAAATAACCAAGTTCCCAGCAACTGTCGTCTTCGGGGGATCGTTTCGTAGCGGCGCAGCAATCGCAGACTCGTTCGCATCGTCGATTCCTTTCGGGGGTGGCTACTCACTTGACATATACTGCAACAAACAGGGTCAGCAATGTCCAAACTTGCAAAACAGACACAAAGAACCATATACACGGGTTTCGCGACGCCGATGACTTCAAGGCGACGACGACAACACCGGCAATGTTCTTTGCGCAGGTGGTTTGGGAGTCTCACATCTGTGGCCGGCTTCGGTAGGCATCTTGACTGGCGATATGTTCCGCTTGATCAAAATTTCCCTGCCACGATAAAAGGGAACTCAGCAAGGAGTCTTGTATGAAGACAATTGCTGATCCGGAGTCCTGCGTTGGGCGACGTGTTGTGGCTCTGCACTTCGACGGCTCCTGGTAATTCGAAAATTGCCTGGTGGGAATTTGGTAGGGTTTGTGGTGCTTGGGACGGTTCGGAGTTTCTCGCCTTCCGAAAAGTGTGCGCCGCGCGAATGAGAGCCCAGGAGCGCGTCCTGCCAGCAGGGTCAGATGTGGCTGAGGTTCGTGCCCCAGCCACATTACATGACCCCTGTAAAGTTGTGCATGTTCCGATAACGCATGACACCCATCGGTCCTTATCTGTATCGTTATCTTAGCTTCTCCGCGATCCATGATGCAATCGATGGTTTTTTCTGTTCCCCTTCGGCTTTGCCCCTCACTGGCATCGTCGACGGCTCCCGAGCCCGGGCAAGCTCCCGAACTGAGTGACCCCCACATCCACACTCAACCTCAACTTCCACGACCTTGAGATGAGATGAGGAATGCTCCCGGCATCAGCCTGCAACACCAACGAATACCGGAATGATCTTAGATTCTCAGATGGCCTCTGTCCTTGTCATCCATACTCGTAAAGTTTTCGGTATTCTTAACGTTGGGGAGAGCAGGCGAACTGCCTGCGAAATATATCCAGTAAGCTCAGAACAAAAGAGTCTTTCGGGCCTGTTTCCGCAGCTAACCTAGGTAGTAAACCGGGGCGTGCACACTCCACTCGGTGTGTGCTATTGTTTATATCCGAAGCTGCAGATGTCTTTCTGCTCATTTTTACCGGCAAAGACTCAATGACAGTACCATGTCATCCAGGCAAAACACCATGGTCTAGAGGGCTTTTCGGCACAATGCGTTTCCGTTGACTCTGACCTCTTGAGTGGCAGTAGATGCCCCCCATACCTACGCATGGGAATCCTGTTATCTTCCGCTAGAGCTCGAGAGTCGTACATCTACGGTATTAGACTGTCCCATATGATGCGGGTTGACACGGCGCCTTTCAAGAGTGCGCGTGGCGTAAGACCGGCGGTTGACTTCGAATCCCGTCTTGGAAGCTGAAGCGACTTGAACTATACTTTGGCAATTTCGTCTCGGCGAACTGCAAGGAGCTGGCAGATTTGTTTCTTCACATCGGCGAAGGGAAGCTTTCTCCGTAGTTACCTGCTTTCACCCTTCCCCGACGAAGTTTGAATGGTTTGTCGGACGTACCTGTCTTACTGTTAACCCGGTGGCATTTCAGCAGGGAAGCAACATATTACTTCTTCCTGTAACGGCGCCTTCTGACTGTGAACGGATATCGGAACAATAATCTGCAGAGGAGCAAAGCGAAATCTCTAGCCCATGCAACATAGTCCGGTGCTTGCGGTATATTTACCTTTACCCCCGACCGACCCTGAAGAACGCATGGGTCGTTCAAAGTCTACAGGCTCACGGTTGACAAATTGAGCTATGGAGCCATCCGTACCTCTACGGTCCTGAACACGGATTCAAGTAACTTTTCCGCACCCCCCCACCATTCCCAACAGAAGCAGAAAGGGATCCATCCATGCAATTTGAACTTCTCCGAGCTCCAAATTTATCAGGCACTCGTCTAGTAATTATGTAACTGTGCTCTTGAGACCCGAAACGTTTACTTGCTCTATCCAGACTTTGAGGCCTGAAACCCATCGTCGACCGAGGACCAGATTAGCTCAGGTACTTATTATGACCGTATCCACTCGTTCTATACTGTCAAAAATTGTCCAGGGGCAACCCTGTTACTACGGCGCAAGATCGGAGCGCAAGCTGTCACTGTCTGGACTTTCTACCGGCGGGAGTCATTTGGTCGAAGTCGAGGAACCATTTGACGGCACCCGCTTCGGATCCATACCCTGGCTCTCGGTTCCATCGCCAGAGGCTACGCAGAGACGGCTTCCATAACGCTGGGGTCCGGATAATGTTAAGACATCTATCAGCCGGAGATCGGTGGAACCATGACATCTATAAGGCAAGTACGGGACGGGACCGACGTCCAGCTTCGTGAGGTTACCAACACCAGCCAAACTGACAAAGTCTGAGCCAACCTGCACTGCTCCCGTCCTGGAACATGGAATGGATGTAAGCATTCAGGGTATCACTGAATCTGATTTGGGGGGGGGGGGGGGGGGGGGGGGGGGGGGGGGGGGGGGGGGGGGGGGGGGGGGGGGGGGGGGGGGGGGGGGGGGGGGGGGGGGGGGGGGGGGGGGGGGGGGGGGGGGGGGGGGGGGGGGGGGGGGGGGGGGGGGGGGGGGGGGGGGGGGGGGGGGGGGGGGGGGGGGGGGGGGGGGGGGGGGGGGGGGGGGGGGGGGGGGGGGGGGGGGGGGGGGGGGGGGGGGGGGGGGGGGGGGGGGGGGGGGGGGGGGGGGGGGGGGGGGGGGGGGGGGGGGGGGGGGGGGGGGGGGGGGGGGGGGGGGGGGGGGGGGGGGGGGGGGGGGGGGGGGGGGGGGGAAGCCAATCTAAGCAGCCCTTTGTTTGATGCGATTCCGGAGGAGGAATATGGCATCTATCATGCATTAGGTAACATGAACGGGACAAGATTTCCATCCGGAAAGGCCGGCGGGGTTTGGGGGTTGGTCAAAAGAAGCAAAGCTCTCTTGTTAAAGCTGTTATCAGATGGGGCCCAAGCTTTGGAGGCGGCTTGGCACCGTTCACTCGGTTGTTCCCCTTCATGAGCGTGATGAGGTAAGTGGTACGTACCAGGGTACGCACCTAGCGCGCGGTGCGGGGCCGTGAGTAAGCTTGCCCTCGTGGGCCGTGGCCCATCAACTAGACTGACTGCAGCAGCAGCAGCTCTAGTTCGAGGGTCGCAGGCAGTCTGCGCATCATTCGCTCCCAGGTGCCCTGGACCAGCCAGGTTCCAGGTTGAGGGAGGTTTCACCCAAAACGCCGTAGCTGAGAAATACACATTCACTTTTAACCCCGAAACCTGACCAAGCTTGCCCACTCTGTCCCAATACTTTCTTCAACCCCCATCGGGCAACAACGCAATCCTCTTCTTCCACTTTTCTCGTCGCCCTCACAGTCTCTTTTTTTCCTCGCTCAACCACCAACGCGACGAACTTGGAATATCGATTCACACAAGCCGACCGCTACGATGGCATCTGATCACCATGGAGCGTGAGTGCCCCTCACCCCGCCAATATCAGTCATTGCGTGGTGGAGCTCAACAGCTTTTTCAGTCTATGGTTGATTGTTGGTGATTTAGAAGCGCTTGCTAACAAACATGGCGTTGCAGTGCGGTAGAGCTCAAGGACAACACCGTCATTGTTGTCCTTGGTGCCTCTGGCGATCTCGCTAAGAAGAAGACCGTGAGTTACTGCTTACCATTGGGCTACTTCATATGGCAATCGACTGACGTGCAACTAGTATCCTGCGCTCTTCGGACTGGTGTGTATGCCCTCTTCTGGGTCGCCTCCGATTAGGGAGCTAACGTTATTCCTGTAGTACCGCAACCAGTTTTTTGCCCAAGGACATCCGGATCGTGGGTTATGCCAGAACCAAAATGGACCACGACGAGTACATCCGCCGCATCAAGTCGTATATCAAGACCCCAACGAAGGAAAGCGAGCAGCAGCTTGAGGAGTTCTGCTCCATCTGCACATACGTTTCCGGCCAGTATGATCGCGACGACTCCTTTATGCAGCTCAACAAACATTTGGGGAACTCGAGCAAGGAAGGAAAGAGAACCACAGACTCTTCTACATGGCTCTGCCCCCAGCGTTTTCACCATTGTTTCACAGCATCTCAAGAGGTGCTGCTACCCCTCCAGGGGCGTTGCGCGTGTTATTGTAAGTCACTTGTCTTTTCGTTGTACCTCAGCCCTTGTCTGACACTGCAACAATAGGTCGAGAAACCCTTTGGCAAGGACTTGGCAAGCTCTCGAGAACTGCAAAAGTCTCTTGAGCCTGACTGGAGGGAAGAAGAGCTCTTCCGTATCGACCATTATCTCGGCAAGGAGATGGTGGAACATTCTTATTCTGCGTTTCGGCAACTCCTTCCTGGGCGCTACCTGGAACAGGCATCACATCGACAACGTCCCAGATTACATTCAAGGAACCTTTCGGCACCGAGGGTCGTGGTGGTTACTTCGACGAGTTCGGCATCATCCGCGATGTCATGCAGAACCATTTGTTGCAGGTTCTTACGCTGCTTGCCATGGAGCGCCCCATCTCTTTCTCCCGCTGAAGATATCCGTGATGAGAAGGTGCGGGTCCTCCGCGCCATTCCGGCAATCGAGCCCAAGAACGTCATCATCGGCCAGTACGGAAGGTCGCTTGACGGAAGCAAGCCTGCTTACAAGGAAGACGATACTGTCCCCAAGGATTCCCGTTGCCCCACTTTCTGTGCGCTAGTTGCGTACATCAAGAACGAGCGTTGGGATGGTGTACCCTTCATCATGAAGGCAGGCAAGGCCTTGAACGAGCAGAAGACCGAGATCCGCGTGCAGTTCAAGGACGTCACATCGGGCATTTTCAAGGACATTCCTCGCAACGAACTCGTCATGCGCATTCAGCCCAACGAAAGTGTCTACATCAAGATGAACTCTAAGCTTCCCGGCCTGAGCATGCAGACCGTTGTCACCGAGCTTGACCTCACCTACAGGAGACGCTTCTCCGACCTCAAGATTCCCGAGGCCTACGAGTCCCTTATTCTCGACTGCTTGAAGGGCGACCATTCCAACTTTGTCCGTGATGATGAGCTCGATGCCAGCTGGAGAATCTTTACCCCTCTGCTTCACTATCTCGATGATAATAAGGAAATCATCCCGATGGAGTATCCTTATGGTACGTGATCACCAAGATGTTCTATGGAATGACATTCAGTACTAACATTGTCTAGGTTCTCGCGGCCCGGCTGTTCTGGATGACTTTACGGCCTCGTACGGCTACAAATTCAGCGATGCTGCGGGCTACCAGTGGCCCACAACCTCCGCCATGGGGTCGGGCATGAAGCTGTAGATTCGCAACGTCCTCACTATCCTCCCTTCGCTCCGGATGATGGATATGCTTTGGTACACGTGGTTCAATCTGCGTCATGAGTTGGCAAAGGAAGCAGTTGTATCACGTCATGAGCAGAAACGTTGGGACTAGATCTTGCTTCCATTTCCCCTGGGGGTTTTCTGCGTTTTCTTTTTATGTGATGCTGGGAAAAGCATTAAAGCAATTTCATGAGAGTCAAAAGAGGCATGTATGGGTTTATAGGTAACAGCGGGCATGGCTGTTGTTATGTCCTTCACGATCCGGAGAGAACAATTTATGATGAGGTTCCTTTCTTACTATAGGTGTTGGGGATACAGGTAGTGACTCGCTCTTGTGCCTGGGGATGGTTGAAGACGTGAAGGGATGTCTTATCTCATACTGAGGCCGAATTTGAGTAGCCAAGTAGTTAGAGAAAGCTTCTTACCTTAATGGCCAGTACATTCATATTGAGCGTTGCCGCATTGTGCACTTTACGGTAACCATTGATCAGTCCTACGTATAGGTATGATACCCTAAAGTTGCTGTATCAAATTGCCAGCCGAACCAAAGCACAGGCCTGTAACGTCACGGGTGGATAGGTACGGTACCAGTCCGAAGTTTGATTACGTACTGCAGTATTTACCATGCAATACACAGAGCGTATCGTAACATATATCGTAAGGTAGTAACCATGTTTCTGGGCAGAGACACAAGGGCTTTTAGGTCGTACCTTTAACTGTGAGTTGAAATATCGATTTTACGTCATGTGTAATCGATAACTGGATAAGATAGCAAAATACGAGTATTTTCCATTAACAGCTGAGTATCTTAATGCGACGTTGGATTCACCAAATTTTCAAACTTTCAATAGGCGTGGTCAGCCTTGCGGCCGTCTCTCTTGTGTTGGTTGAAAGATCCACAGTGGCACCTACCTCTAGGTACTGGTAGGTACTTCCTTGGCTGGCTGCGCAATGGGTACTGCACCGGGCGAGAAGTGACCCCAGCCTCACTGGAGAAGGGCATACCGTGGATGGGTCTTCTTCCTCCCTGGGCGCCCACCCGTCGCAGACTGCCCGACAGGGAGGGCATTTGTCACTGGTGCGACGAACCTTTCAAAGGCACCAGACAAGTGATCCACGCGCACGCGCATTTCGACTTCCACTTGATCACCTGTCGCTTTTCCCTTGACCTCCGTTTCTAGCGTAAAATTCGATTTTGTGACCGACTCGGGCAGGCGTCCCATTCCAGGCTCTCACCTACCGCCTTCCTCGCTCTACGAACCAGCGCGTGTTGTATTTTCGATCGCCTTCCACTTTTGCGCACCTCCACTGCCGGGCAAATCTGAAACCCGCTGGCGACTTTCACTTTGACATCAACTACGATCCGACACGGCGCCCTACTTTCGCCCACCAACGCAACTTTTTCAATCAACTCGCCACCCGAAGTGATGGGAAATCGTGCTGTCTGCGCCAATCTCAACGTCTGAGCCGTGGTTTGATGCGCGCTCCCCGGGGCCTCCTTGACGAAGAAATTCCCCAGCGGATGTTCTTACCGTTCGCCTTCTCTCGCCTTCGCTACAACTTGGACATCAACAACACGTCCCTGGTAACGACCGTCACACGACCGACGATATCCCGATATCTCGCGACACGCTTCCGATCTTGCGTGGTATTTGCCGAAGCTGTTACACTTTGACGACCGATTCCCGTCTTCACGACTGCATTTCTAGAGATTATTTCAGCAACACACGACACTGGGGACGCTCTTTGGGCGAGCGTTGTTCGCGCGGCAGTAAGGCACGCGCAGGATGGAAAACGGACATATGAACGGAGTGCGCACCCATCACGACAGGAATTCGTGGACGAACGGCGTCAATGGAGGCGTGGCCAAGCGGGAGGGCTCGCCAGATAAGGGTAAAGCTCTCGCAAACATGTCGGGCTCCTCAGCCATGACGAACGGCGGAGGTGCCTCCTTCATGGATGTGGACAGCCAGCCGCCTGGCGGCTCTAAATTCACCGATCTGCCAGACGAGATCCAACACATCACCGCGGATATTATGCCTCTAAGCCTACTCCTGACTAGATTGTCACAATGGACTCACACGAAGTTGCAAGACGAGATCGCATACCTTGCCTCCAAACCCTTACCACAAGCCGTCCTGAATGGCAACACCAACCACCAATCCGCGGATAATCACGACACCTCGCAGGAGAGTCTTGAAAAGAAGGTTCATCTCCTCAACTTCCTGCAGGATATGCATTCAAAATGGGTCAAGACCCTTGTCATCACCGAATGGAGCAAAAAGGCAGCTCAGGTTGGAGCCCTGATTGACATCAGGGTACATATGTTGACCAAACAGGCTCACTACCAAGAACTCTTCTGGGAGTTGATCAGGATGAAGCAGGATCTTCACTGGGCGAAAGTGCCGGGCCCAGATCTGAAGACGGCTCTGGAAGTTCTGACAACTGGTCAAGCGTCCTGGATGCCCGAGGTAAGTCGATGGTCCAGATTATGCTCTGTGGCTTGGTGTTCTGACAACGTTAGTTGGGATATATCGAGCCCCCCCTATAACGTGGGAGGAGAAAGAAGCGTTTATCGACAACATCAATACCATGCTAAGCGTACGACTCACCTTCGACGAACACGAAAAGATCCCGGCTGCTTTCCGTGACTATAACATCTCGAACGGAAGGGTCACGTTCAAAGTGAAGGGAGAGTTTGAAGTCGACCTGACGATTGGTGATGAGGACTTTGAGCAGCAATTCTGGTTCATCGACTTCCGCTTTCTTTTCACCCCTGCTCCAGCAGAGCTGTCGCATGGTGTGCGCACTTTCCTCGAGAACAAAGTCAACACAATCCTGGGCGATCAGGGCTTGGCTGGGTGCTATAACTATCTTCATGAGTTCGTTTAACTCAGAAGATTGTTGAGTTCCGTCGTCAGGCAACGGAACTGGCAATGGGCAGGTGGGTTGATACCCTGAAGGTCGAGAAACTCAACCGTGCCATGTCTATCCAGTACTGGCTCAAGCCTCCGCACGGTCTGGAGGGCCCTTCTTCACAAACTGCCAAGAGCTGGGTTTTGCTAGGGGTATGGAGCGGAAAGGGCGTCGAAGGAGACCTTGATTCGAAGCCTTCAAGTTACATCAGCCTACGTTGGTTCCGCGACAACAAGGAGGTCAAGGATTTCGACATACCCTAAATGTTGAGACTATTTCTGCGGAAAAGCTCCTGACGGCGGTTATTGCAAGTCACGTTGAATACATACTCACATCGATATCTAGCAAGCTTCTCAGCAAACCTCGGTTTGCACAGAAGCATGCAAGACTTGACTTGGAGATTTCAAAGGAGGAGCCGCAGAATTCTTCTTTGGCCGTACAACTATTCGACAATGACAAGGCTGTCATCAAGATCGAACCACTGACGGGCTTTTTTACACTGTTCCCGCGGTCCCCGGTCTTCTTGAAGGGACAAATGAAGCTGAATACCAGTTCCAATGCGGCGGAAGAAGGCGCAAACCTTATGGAGCAACTAAGATTTGACCATACAGTCAAGGATCTCAACAGCCGTGTAAGGAGTATAGGCTGGTTGTTTGCCGTCCGCCAATTACCCAGGAAGAGACCAAGGCTATCGTCTACTCGGATGCTTCAGGATCTCGGAAGCTTTCAAGGCAGTTTGGCTCAGAAAGGCAAATTGGATGACACGACAATGGTTCGTCATGATGAGCATGATTCTTGGTGGTGACCAATGGTGGCTAGTTGACCTGTGAGTATAATCCTGATCAGATAAGCTTGGAGATTGATGATGTGCTAACTCTGAATAGCTCACCACCAAGCCTAACTTCCCCCGCCGGCCGCCTGAGGCTGTTCACCAAAATGCCCATGACGTCCAACCAACTAACGTTGTCGGACACCTTCTTCCGAAATTTGTCGGTCTACGCCGCTGGCATGATTTCACATATCACCGATCTTCGCAAGCTACATACCCTCAAAAATCACACCGGCACTCGAGTTGCCAAACCACAGCCTACCGCCCCAGGTTAGGCTGCCTACGATTTATGTGCGGCTATCGGAATGCTTCAACAAACGTCCTGGATCCAGCAGTCGTACCTTGACGTGGGCAAAGGCTCGTACCCATCATCTTCAAGAGTCCGGACTCACACAGGTGACCCAAGAGGGCCCAGCAGATGCCACACAGCCGCTCAGGTCCGGCGCGATACGCCAGCTAAGATCCGAGCGGAGGCTAGATTACCGTGATCGACAGGAACAAGTTCAAATCTCTGCGCGGAAATGTAGACCACGATGTGGTGTACAACCATCGTACCGGCCAGTTCTCGCTTAAGCTGCGAGCGGATATGGGTACTCCCGTAGTCGATTTTGCTCGCCGATCGCGTACAGGCCCTGGAACGCTTGATGGAGTTGTTGTTGAGGCCATAAGACTGGCTGGTAGCAAACGCCATTCCTCAAAGTGTTGCGCTCCGCGAGGGTTGTTTTCACCTACAGCAACGACCCAGCAGAACCTGTTTCCGGTCCATCACAGGGTCCTCGTGCATGGAGCGTACACCTAGACCTCCCCAAAGATGCCAAGGTTATCCTTACTCTCGAAAAGGGAACCCTCATATGCTCGCGCTAGATATGTTGCAAGAAATGGCCCAGTCCTACCAAGACCGAGCTTCTAACCGTCTACCTTCCATTCTCTCTGCCGCTGTATAGGGTGTGGACAGAATCGAGGATGAGTGGAAAGCATTGCGGCGAAGAACGCAGGCAATGTGGCGATCGTGGTAAAAGCGGCAGAGTGGGTAACGATTAGGTTCTCGCTCTCTGCTCCGACTACTCGGCGACTGTTGTGCCTTGATATCAGGACCATGGGCCGCAAAGGTAGACTGTTGTGGCACGTCAAGCGTACTGATGAAAGGGGCACGAACGACCTCTTAACGCCCCGCAGGATGAGTTTGATACCTCCCTCCAGCGGTCGGTATGGCACGCTCATGGCGATGGAAGGAAAAGCTTCGGTACCAGCGCCGCTGCTGACCCAAAGATCGGCATTGAAACGCTGTTATGGTCTATCAGCGAGTCAGTGAAATCGCTGGTCGGTACACTTCCCCCACCGCCCATCACCGCTCCCCATCAAGGAGGCGCAGTACAGGATCTTAAACAAGGACACCAGCAAACACCCCAGGAGCTAGTAGCTGCACAAGCTGCACAGGGAATGCCCCCGCAACGACCGAAGCAGCAACCACCTCCACCATCCCAACCACAACAGCAGCACCGGCCCGTTAACCAACCGCAAGCCCAGCCTCAGCCTCAGGCCCAGCCCCATACTCAGGTCCAACTCCAGCAGGCTCAGGTTGCTCAGCTCCAAGCTCAGCGCCAGGCACAAGCCCGCGCCAACAACAACAGATTCGTCAACCGCGCGCATCCCGGCCAGCCACCACAACAGCGGCAGCCTGGCCCTCAAACCCAGGCACAACAGCAGCAACAGCAGCAACAGCGGTACCAGATCCAGCAACAAGCACAAGCGATGCAGCGAATGCAGCAACAGCAACAACAGCAGGCCGCCCAACAACATGCCCAACAGCAAGGCCAGGCCCAACAAGGCCAAAGACCCGTTCACGGCCAAGGAGGTCCTCAGGGCGTGCCGCAGGACAGCCGGGTCAAGGTGGTGCTGGTGGTGGTATGGGTGGGAAGAATGCCCCTGTGGTAGTTATCGACTAAGGAAAAGACGTATAACTACTCGGCGTTTCAAGCAAAGAATAAGAAGGAAATCCGGATGGTGAGGTGGATGGGATGTACATAAGTCGTAGTGTAGTAGTGTTGTTATCGGGCATTTATGGAGCGAGGCCACAAAAAAAAAAGAAAGCGGATTCTAAGTTCTAACTGGTATTGACTGATCCTTTATTTTTAACTACACATCCGGAAAAGGGGAAAGGAAAAAGGGAGGAAGGAAGGAGTTGGGAGCTTATTAGGAAGATTTCCCTTCTATTACATACTTGCTCTAGGAGAGGGGAGGAGGTGATGTTAGCTGAAGAGAGAGAGAGGTTCAAAAGGAATAAAATAAAAAACATGGCGAGCTTGGGGGGAAGAGATTAGTGGCCAGCCAATATGAAAATCCTAAATATCCTTATCAAACCGTTGGTGGTTACACCTCTATCATACATACGCAAGTGCGTTAGACCTGACGGTCTGTAATACGATCACAGAAATAGAGGCATACCGACGGCGTTAACGGGTTTGATGCTGGGAGTTAACTGACTGGTAGAAAAGTGAATGGCGTGGGGTGTGGAATACGCTGCTGGATAGTTGACACCAACAGAAAAAACAAAACACAATAGGAAGAAGTCTACTTTGAAAGACAATAGATAAGTTGACTAGCGAGTCCACTCCCACTTTGAATTTCCTGAGCTTTTTGCATGACTTGCTAGGACTGGTCCATAGGCAGGAATGTATGTGTACACGGGTTTTGCTGTGTCAAAGTCATTCCATTCCCTCCGAGTGATCACGAGTTCAAAATAGACTCGAGGATGGATCACTATAATCGTGGGTGTGAGTGAGGACTGGTCGTAGAGTTGAGGTTACTTAACGCGCGAATACGAGAACTAACATCCACCGGGTCTTTAGGCAATAACGCAGAACATTTGACTAGGTAGCAATTCAAAATATTAGAGTCGAGAACATGGGACCTCCATACTGACCCTTTCCATAGTACATACACCGTTTCTGGCCCAGTTTCGGTTGAATACTCATCCCTCCACGGGTAAGTAGGGTAGGGTAGGGTAGCTTATTCCCTATATCTCTATTTATCTGTAATGTACACACTGACTATTCTATTCATTTGTCAGATTTTCTATCCATTTTCCATCGCGTTGCCGGTCCGGTCATGTCCTCCTTCCTACAGCGGCAGACCTAACGATCCCTTTCCTCTTCATAGTATTCCGAAAGGGGAGTGTTCCCAAACCTCAACGGGAACACTTCCTTGTCCCCCTTCTCCGCCTGCTTCCAAGACTCCGACATCGGTCTGGTAAATCGCTGCAGGCCCGTCTTCCCAACCGTCTCTCCGGTATATTTGCCCCAGAACCCGCCCGTTATCTCGAACGCAATGTCCGCAGCGCCGCGCAGCGCGCTGTTGATGCCGGGCGTCTGGTACGAGCCGCCCACCACGGCCAGGTTGCCCTTGAAGGCCCGCAGCAGCTCGTGGTGCGCGTTCACCATGCGCTCGCGGTGGCCGACCGTGTGCTGCGGGATGCAGTTGTGGCAGAGCTTGGTGGTGGCCACGGCGCCGGCCGCGTCGTCCTCGGGGATCTGCAGGTGGCGCTCCACCGCGGCCTTGGCCATGGCGATGCACTTGTTCTCGTCGTACATGTAGGAGGGCTCGGCGTCCCAGTAGTGGCCGCCCATCATGACGGTGGAACTTGGTGCCGGGGACGGTGTCGCCGCCGTAGTTGCGGCCGCGGTGCTCACGGTCCGAGTCGAAGAGCACGCCGAGGACACCCTCCTCGTTGTGGGGCGTGGTCGAGGGGATAAGATAGCCGATACCATTGAATGGTGCGTTGAGGTTGGGGGTTGGGTACCAGATGTTGACGACTCGGATCGTGACGGCGGTCGAGCGGGCTAGGGAGGGGAGCTTGTTGACGGTGAGCCCGGCTAGTGTCTTTGCGTAGATTGTTGACACGACTTTGTCGTATAGGACGTTTTGAACAGTTTTGGTGGATTTGATCTGGCGTGAAGAGTTAGTAAATGATATCGCAAAATTACCGGCTGATAATCAGCCTGGTCGATGCTGGCGAAGCAGCAGAAGCTTTTGTCCCAAAAAAAAAAAAAAAAAAAAAAAAAAAAAAAAAAAAAAAAAACCTACCGCTATCCTTTCTGACGGGTGAAGAGAGATAGATTGCACAGGATCGTTGAGCTTGAAAGTGACCCCTGTATGCTTCAAGAACCGTATGAGCGCGTCCGTCAGGGTGCTAAAGCCCTTCTTGAACCAGATATATTCAGAGCTCTCTCCCTTGGCCATGAAAATGCGGAGCATATGGCTGACGTTGGTATGGTACCTTAACATCCTTTCCATCAACTCTATATCCTCCCTTGGATACCAGATTTTACCCTTTTCGGGGCTCGGTAATGTCGTCTTGGAGAACAGGCCGCTCTGCATACTGAGATTCCATATATCGCCGCCCCATACGCCGTGCATCAAAGCGCCGAGGGTGTTGTCGATCAGCTCACGATTTCCCGTAGCGCGCCCGAAGAACTCGCCGACCGATAGATCTTCTCCGTCTTTGAGCGTCAATTTGCGCCCGCCCCTGAAAAAGTATTTCATAGCGGCCGGAACTGCACCCTTAAAAATGGGCTCTTTTAAGAGTGTTTCCACCGTTTTAAGGATTGAATCTGCAGAATCGAGGGGTCGATTCTGGTCAAAGATGGGCTGCGGCATGGCGACAAGATGATCGGGGTAATAGATGTAGTTGCCCAAAGGCTCGTCTTTGCTCCTAACTTGAAGTTCGTTTTCCAGCTCGAGTGCGCTCACCTAATGGCAGACAAAATCAAAGCAGGTTAGCCAGGACAGTCCAACCCAGGGAGCTACCGAGTACCTACCGGCGTCCCGCAGAGGCTGTACATACTAACTTCCAGAAGACCAAATCATCGTACCTGGCCTTGTCGTTCATGGTCTTGAGCATGCGGCCACCGCGCTGGAACAGGACCTTGCCGGTTTCGCCTGACGGGGTTTTGACCGTGACCTCCTCTGTGTCAATCCATCCGCCGAGCCTGTTAGACGCCTCATAGACCGTGATGCGTGCATCGGGGTTGTAGATGTGAGTGAAGAAGGCCGTGGCCAAGCCGGTCAGACCACCTCCCAGGATCGCGATATCCCTCGGGACCTCTGTTGTTGGCGTCGTTACCGACGTCGAGTAGGATCGGGTCTTGCCGGTGGCGGCGAGGGCGGAGGAGGTTGCATTGTGCCTCTTGCTGGTGGTTACGGCGGAGCCAAAAGCACAAGTGCTCGCGAGCCGTGAAGGCGATAGGGTTGCTGGTTGCGCCCACTTGCTGCTGACGCAACGTCGCGTGTTGCGCGCCAGACTGCGCTGACTGGTACTGTACATCATGAGAAACTTAAGGCCTTCGTGGTCCTCATCCCGCGCCGTTCAATGGCGCGCCGTGTTGGCCTTGGGTTAGATATGCAGGAGCTTGTTATCGTCGACAAGCGTTCGATGATGTCGCCGGGCCGAAGAGTTGAAATTAGGTTTTTGTTGACGGGAAGAACAAGGGGCCACCATGCATGTGAAGCACAGCATGCAAGGGACCTTGTACTGCTATCCGATCTTGGTGGACTGATCTGCGTGGGTGTCTGTCCGCCCAAGTTCTTGGAACGCACAACTGAATCCCGAGCCTTTAAGAGATTTTGGCAAACAGATTTTACAGAAAGAAAATGATGTTAAAGAAATTGAAACGAAGGTGCGGGGTGGACAGGTCCAGTTACAAGAATCTAAAGAATTGGCTTCCGGCAAGGCCACCCCTCCTCGGCACGCTAACCCGCTCTGAGTGGCCTGACAGGTCGAGCCACGGCAGACCAGGCCGGGGTTGAGCCGTTCCGCCGGTCATGGTGATGCCACCACCACCGTTCCAACTGCCGGGCAAGCCGGTCGTGGCCGGGTCATCACAGGATATCACACGTAGAATCGAGACACACTCACCCATGCAGGAAGTGCTGTAATAAATAAGGTATAATGTTTGTAGCTATTCGCTGAAAACTTTGCAAATGCTGCTACGCTACGGGGACCAATTCCTTTGTTCCCTTCCAGTGCCATAGGTATGCCCTCCTCCAATATAGAACACCCTAGTCAGTATAGTAAACATGTAGACAAAGTCGACGCCTTCCTTGGATTCCAATTGTATGCTAACCCCTTCCTGCCGGAACGCCGCATGGACAGCAATCATGAATAAATCTAAGCATCCAGTCTTTGACCCAGACATCCCAGTGATATAATACAGAACCAAAACACCCTCCTGAGTACCAACCAACTTCTTCTGGTCCAGTTCCCTTCCTGCACAACTGCCACATCTCTCGTAAATGGCATCTGCCTTGAACATTCCCATCTTTTTCCTTGCTTCGCCCCATTACTCACACGACAACCTCAGGCATGTTGGCGTCCGCTTGCTGGTCCTCGGATCCAGGCAAGACTACGTCTTCTGGGGCGTTCTCATCCACAAACTTCCTTTCGCTGACGTGCTGTTGCTCGCCTCCTTCGCCGGCTACCCAGACCTTATCCTGGAATGTACCGCGTTGACCCTCCTCATGCGAGAAAGGGCAGAATCGATTGGTGCACGGGTGAAATTTGCAAGGCGTCTTGACGTGGGTGAACTTGCATCCGGGCACCTTGCATTCGCCGCCGTTTCGGCAGGGGGGCATGCTAGGGTGCTTGAATGGGCAGTGAGGGTTGGTGCAGTTGGGGAAGAACTTGCAGTCCATTTCACTCTGATGCGCCGCCTTGATCGCCGGCGATGGGTGACGGCCGACACACTTCCGGTTCTTGCAAGCCGCTCCGAAGCTGCAGACGTCCTTCACGTCGATTGGGATGTTGGGCGGCGCCGCCGGAGACTGGTGGGCGAACTTGCAATCCCGGTTGGAACAGCGAAGGTTGAATTTGCAGACCGTCTCTTCGGGATTGGGGGGCTCGCGCTTCGGTTGCATCATATCGACATCTTCACCGGCCTGCTGGCCTTGTTGAGCAGCGTCGCCTTGACCGGCATCCGAGCCCTGCGAGTGTTGGTGACCGCCAGGTTGAAATCCTCCACCACGGCGGAAGTTTGGCCGGCTAGTGCGCTCATATAGCGGCCGTCCGTGACCCCGACCATGTCCATGGGGGCCGTGACCGTTGGGAGCAACACCACTTTGTTGCATCATCATCTGCATCTGTTGCAACATGTGCCTTTGCTGCTCCATAATCGCCATGATGTCCGGCTGGCCAAATCCACCCATACCATTCATGCCGTTCATCGGGTTCATCGGGCCCATACCACCAGGGCCGGCAGGGCCGCCCATGTTCGCCAATCCTTGCGCGATGCTGGCGACACGTGTGTTCGTCGTGCGTGGCTGTCTTCCAACGCCCATTCTCGGGCCTGTAGGAGGGCCTCGCGCTATCCTCTCGTTTCCAGACTGGCCGCGAACGCGATGCAGAGCGGCGTTGGGATCGTGAGTCCTGTCCATAGCACGGTTGATCTGGCCCATAATACGCTTTTCCCGTCCACCACGCATGCCGTTGCCGCTTCCGTTCCGCATAGCCTTGGGTCCAGTAGGACTTTGCGATGTTAGCAGGGTACCAGGTCCGGAGAGGGTTGATGAAGATGTGACATACGCGTTAAGCTCATTGCCAGAGCCGTCTGTTGTGACGTCCATGTTGAAGTCGCCCATTGAATTGTCTTGTGCCGTATCCATCGCACCCTGCTCGTCGGCTACGGGTTCAGGCGCGGAGCTGTACTGTGGAATGAGGGCATTTTGTTGCTCAAAGAGCCACTGAGCGAAGTGCAATGCGGTCGGGTCGTCAGGTCCCAGACTGAGAAGGTCGCCAGAAATCTCCGCGGCGACTTCATCCTGTGTTTTGCCGTTGGCCAGCATGAGGACGAGGTACTCGGCCATAGGGGCGGCTTCGGTGGTATTGCCCGCCCAGCCCACCTCAACTATTTTCTCCTGGATGGCATTGTTGAGGGCATCCGCCAGAGGGGTGCCAGTGGTGAGTTCGGTGGCCATGGTTCACGATCGGTGGGGTGGCGTATTGGGACGATGACGAACGAAGGCGCAAGGTCGGGAATAGAAGGGTCGTTTTGGGGTTTGAACGTTCACGACGGGGAGCTGACGACTATAGAAAGCTGGCGAGTTCGTGTCGAGATGGCGGCGGCGAAATCGGTCAGCGGAAGGCCGCAGGCGGTGCAGACCTGTCTTGCTCTGTCAAGAACGCGAAAGTTGAAAGCGACAGTCGGTCGGGGCTCGTGCAGCGGTTCTGTGCAGAGGAAGCCAGGTCGTTATCGAAAAGGTCGTGAGTTGCGCTCAGATACTAACGATACAAACGCTGTCGGGTCGTAAGATGTTAGGTTGAGAGATCGTGTAGGTTGATTTGAAGATGAAGATTTTAAGATTGGAGCTTGATGCCTGGTTCCAAGCCGAGCAGAACTGAACGTGCTTGAGACTTGCTTTGACAACTGTGGCTGGTGTCTGATCAGTAAGGTGCCGCCTGTGGCTTGTCGGTGGCTAGGATGAGTGTAATGGTAATACGTGATTGGTTCAGTTCCTTCACTTCCATTGAAGGAACCGCTTTGTCAAGGAGAATGGAAGGAACTGGGCAACTCCAGTCCGGTCCGCTTCGTTCCGTCACTTTTGACTCGCTTTTAATCAGCAAAGTAGCAATTGGTATCAGCCGGTTGGACGGTGTTTTCTTTTCTTCAACTCCGGAAAATGTCTAAACCGGCTATTGCTATTACATACATTATACATGATACATACCTGCCGTGTTCGGATTCAAGGGTATTGCGGCGTGCGGCTACCAGTACAAGTTCCAGCGCAGGTACTTTAGCACTGAATGCTATCGATTTACAATACCGATACGCTTGGTGATGTTCCCGTCTTGAACAAGAAAAGCCTGTTTGCTAGCAATTACCGCATCAACTCTCGAAATCGAGGTTCGGGTAAAACACTTTTCACGCAGGCATAAGCAGGGTTAAAGGTGTAAAGAAGTAGTGAAGAAGCATGTACATAGGTGACCGACACCTTTAATCCTGCTTGTGCCTGCGTGAAAAGTGTTTACCCGAACCTCGATTTCGAGAGTTGATGCGGTACCCAGTCACTTACCATCATCACTTGATCCCAAGGGTTTTTTTTTTTTTTTGTACGTGCGTGGGATTTCGCATACATACTGCGAACGCACCCTACCCGCCTTTGTTATGAAGTCATTGATCATTTCGGACAATCTGATCGACTTCACCTTGCATGCCCGTACGCGCACATTCGACGTTAGCCGGTTAGTACTATCGCACGGTCCACCTACAACCTAGCCGTGCTAGCTTTCAAAACCTTGCAGCGGGGAAGCACGTCTTCCATGGGTGCAACGTACAACGGTGCTTGCTCGGAGTATTCCCGTCTTCCACTTCCGCAGCATGTTCGCCCGAGGGACGACATCTGTAAATCTCTACAGGAACCAAATATCATATGCCTGGGGAAATACTCACCATTTGACTGGACTAGTAAGATGGACGATGCAGCTTCGAGCCTCGAGCTACCTTGACTCCGATCCCCTCATACTTCCAACTTTCGACACCGTCTACCGCTATATCAGACAAGTTCTACCCAGCTCACAACACTGATAGCCCCGCGTGATTCCCTCTCTCGGTGGACTTTTGACGGGATATCGATGTTGTGGTATTCTGCTAGGTCAAGATGCTTGGCCATAATTTGCGCCGAACCATGGTGGAAACAGCTTGGAAAACTTCGGGCAGCAGAGCAGCAACCGATGCCTTTACTTCCTCTCTTACCTCTACGGATACAGCAAGCATGTTCATCCTCCATCCAGGTCTCAGATCAGCAGGAAGAGAAGAGAGGAAAAGAGAAATGCATCGTGGCTTATTACGGACGAGCGTGTTACAGATCAAGTATGGCAGCTGAGTGGCGCCGAACAACAGGATCCTCCTAACTGCGGTGCAACCACCAAAGATTATTTAGAAAGCACCAGTGCTCGTTGGACAAGACAACCTCGTTCCAGACGCTGCCCCTTGCGGCTTTGCTAATAAGTAAACAGGAGAGAGGACAGTAGCCAACCAACGACCCGGGCCGGCCGCGAGATCTGTCACTACGAGGCAGAGTATGCCGGTATGGCAGAACACCGCCTTAGGCCTACGTTGAGGCTCGAGCTAGAGGTACCAGAAGCACGGAGGAGGTATCGTGAATGTGTGTGATAGGTACGGCCATCAAAGTATCGTGGTCTCCTTCTCGGCTTCTCCAACCCCGAACCCAACCGCAGTTGTGGGCTCCCATCCGAACGCACCTCATGGCGTTCATACGACCATAACATGTCGAGTGCCGCCTCGGGTCAGCATCCGCGGTCATTCGTGGTTAATTGCCCCGCCTCCGACCCAAAGATTCACTGGAGATATGTATCACCGCCAATCCTTTCGTTTAGCGGCCAGCCTATGCCGATCTCCCTCTCGCACTCGGCCTCGTAGGGCATTTTCTCTGCATCGCGAATCTCCTCCTGTCAGTAAGACTCTCCTCTGGCCTACGGTGACGCCTGAAGCCTGAAAGACTTTGGGGATTCTAGTCAGTCTAGCTGTTGGTAGGTCGCAGGTCGCCAAGACGCCCAGACATCAAACCACAAGAGTGTTAGTTCTCAAAACACTGCCGCCCAAAGGCTTTTCATCAACGACCAACAGAAAATGGCGACTCACGATCTTTCGCTCTCTTTCCTCTGCGAACGGGGCGCAATTCATTGTGGCATGGAATCACAAGATTTCCATTCAGCTCACAGCCAAGCCAAGAGCCCAGGGAGAGAGAGCATAACGCATGGCTTACCGCCCAGCAAAAGCTGCCCTGTGGTGTAACTAACCGTACTTGGGGCCCATCGTCCGCGGACCTCAACCTATAATTCTCCGCACCACGACTTTACCCGTGGGTGTGAGGTCGGCCTTGTCTCGCTACACCCACTCTCTTAGAGTGGGTAAAAAAATCCGTAGACAGCACAAAACCCGTAGACAGCCAATGTCTAAATCCCATACTACCGCTTTTTTGCGCCGGCAGACCACTACACCAACCAGACTATATTCCCGCGCAAAAGGATACAAATAATCGAAGTTGACACTTCGGTCGCTTAAGTGGTCTTATATAGTTGCGATGACAGATCCCATCTGCCATCACATCCCTCATGATGGAGATGCTCTTTTGGGGTTAGGGTTATATTGGCAAGTTTTGGCTGTCTACGGGTTTTGTTCTGTCTACGGATTTTTTTACCCACTCTCTGCAAGAGAGTGGGTGTAGCGAGACAAGGCCGACCTCACACCCACGGGTACCGGTATACCTTACCGGTTACGTAGGTACCACCTACTGGCACCGAGCCACCACCTACCGGCACCGAGCCACCGACCACCTCGAAAAAAGGCGTCTCCATGTCCCATGAAGCTCTTGTTCCTATACCGATGTCCACTAAGCTTAAAATCTCTCTGACGTAACGTTGCGCCAATGTCAAGGTACACTACGGTATATTGCAACAGCAGCTGCTTCTTGTGGAAAACACCGAGGCGAACCACATCACATCCTCCAAAGCGACGGGATGTACATCCAACAAGAGAATGTTTGGACATCACATCTACTATACTTCCGACTAATCACACACGGCACAAATCGGCACAAAAAATCAGAAACAACAGAAATCATAACAACAAAAGAGACAGACAAAAAAATCTCACGGGTCAGCCGTCGCAGATTGTTCCAATCCCTTTCAGCTTCCTTTCCTCCGAACTGAA